GCAGTCTTCTGGGATTTGGCACCGTGTATATGTGGTGTTAACCGACGTTTCGGAGGAGAGAGGGGGGGTTTTCTAAGAGAACAGATGAGAGGTTTCCAAGACTTGCTGAGACAAAACCCCCCCTCTCTGTCTCAGCAAGTCTTGGAAACCTCTCATCTGTTCTCTTAGAAAACCCCCCCTCTCTCCTCCGAAACGTCGGTTAACACCACATATACACGGTGCCAAATCCCAGAAGACTGCCTTCTTCAATATAGATGGTTGTTCTGAATGTTTCCCTCTCCCCTATGGGAGTTTCGACCACTGTTCACAAGGAATGTTGCTACAGAAGTGCAAATTTTCTTTCACAGGTGACAGAGACCATGGAATGTCTCTACATAAAACATAATTAAACCGTGTCTAAAATATCTCTGATTGTGCATCACAGACTGAACATCATGTCACAATTACAAAGTTACTAGTTTCTATATCTGTTACGCTGTGGTGACAGGGGGCGTGAAGGTATCCCACCGCTGTCACCCTATGGTATGGCGGAAAGGGGGGCATGGAGGATTCGTTCCACCTCTTCCACCATCCATGCCGTTGCGCCCTTGGAGAATGGCCAGTTACAAGGCACTTGGTACTTGACTCGTTAACTACCTCATGGCTGTGAGTTCCCAGTCCCGATGACACAGGGAGGTACGGGAGAACGGTGAAATAGAGAGTGTGACTGGGGGTAAGTCATTAACACCACACATCCCCTTCACTCGGTCTACTCTCATCTACTAATATATACACTTTATACATATCACTTTCATGGCCGACAGTGGCCGGTTACGTACACATTGTAATTTGGATAACGATGCACTTGGGTTTACCATCCCTAGCTTTCGAGGTAATTCCTACGTCCCTACTCAACGCCTACTCTCTCTCTGCCCTAACCCTGTAACATGACACTTTAATAATATCTCACTGTATATCCGTGACCGATATGAACAGTTCCACTTACTTGGTGTAGGAAGCTGATGGTGTCCCTCACTTGGTCTGGCACGACGGGCACGACCATGGTTCTGGCTGGCTATTACACTCAGTTACGATGATCAAAAGATTGATTGTTTGATCCGAAAAGATTCCATGATCAATTCAATGATCGATTCAACGATAGACTCCAAGATAGATGCTCTTCCAGTTGCGTCCGCAACTTTACAACCTTCCCCTTGCTGACACCTGTCTTTGGGGGTAAGCTCCGCCTCTTCACTAGAGCGAATTTTCCCCCAACGGTCCGTCTCTCGTTGGTCAGCTGGGTAAAGAGTGTTGGATCTCCTCCGGCCGTCTCGCTGAGTCGGCACTGTGTATGCTTTGCTGTACAGCCTCTCGCACCTCTTCGGCGTGAATCCGCGGTCTAAGCAATGCGACAAATTTCTACTGACGGCGCTCTTCCGCATTGTACTTCAAACATTACCCTTCGTCTAACTTCTCTAAGGTGAACCCAAGATAATTTAATACCTAAAAGTTACAAAAACCCTTGCCAAAATTCTACGGCATTACAATATCTCTCACATAAAATGGGAACCAAAATCGCCATACCGGTGATTTCGCTGTGCATACAAGTACATATGATGTTTCTGCCTTAATGTTGCCTACAGTATGTATTAGTTATGACGTACTGTCAATGATGTTTTTGACAATTCAAATATGTGCTTCGGAACGTGTTCTGTTTTGTAAGTCACTAATATTACATTTGTCCTAATAATTCTTGTATTGCTATTTTTCTCATGATATCACAAAACGCTTCCCACCGTCAGAATCATCACAGTGATTATAGTCAATCATAGTGTACTTAAAAAAGCTGCAACATTCAATAAACACATAGCGGCAACGTCCCACCAAAATTTCTGGTCATTAAAAACTCTACAATATGCTGTGTCTGCAGCAATTTGCAGTTTGAACAACTGGCTTAATCGGGCTTAACCACGTCAACAAGCGTTATGCGGCATAACTTACGCCTCGCCCAAACCAAGGCGAACGCGAACATGAACGCGATCTATCCAGCAGCCGGACGTAAATGCAGTGACACACACCAGAGAGCCGGCAAGCCGCGCGAGCAAGCATGCTGCGCGATCAGGTTGAGCAGTCAGGCTGGCAGATCGCACATGTCGGGTTGTTTGCGCACAGGCATGCAGTGATCATTTGATGCGTTTAGAGACTACATGCATTTTCACTCTTTTAAATCATGGATTCAGAAAAGACAGAAAGGCTCAAAGAAGCAGTTAAAGAAAGTGAAGTACTTTATAATATGACCCTGGATGGATACAAGAACAACAAAGTAACAAACAAGAAGTGGGACGAAATTGGCTCTATTTTAGGAATGACAGGTAAGTAAAATAACAGCTTTCAATCAAAATATTAAAATTAATTAATTTTTTATTACAGATGATCTGAGTCGAAATTCGAAAGTTGAGATAAAATATTGGAACAAGAATTAGCTCATTTGCAAGAAACTAATGAAGTTACATCTTCCCGAAAAGAAACCCCGTCTCCTGCACATACTGAGACATACTTTGATGAATTATATATATATATATATATTGTGACATGTTGCGCTAAGGAGAACCACCCCCCCCCCAGCAGTGACGCGGCGGGTGAGTCAGCGCTCCCCTCCCCCTCCTCCGCACGG